TTACACACCAAATTATTCTTACAAGATCAAATTCAACTCCACGAGCCGTATGCATTTCCTCCATTTGAGAAAGAACTTTCCTTGTATGTAAAAAAACAGAAAAAAAAAAAAAAAAAAAAAAATATTATTTAGTTACCCTCAAGCGAAGCTTCAGTATAACCTACCCGAGAATGCCCTAAAAACAGACAGACGACTAAGTGTCCAGCGGATATTAAAAATTACCACGTAATACATTTTTGCAGAATGGTCCATTTGACGTTCTCTTAATTGTAGCATGATTTGGGAAACTACATTATATAGTACGCGTCCCGCTGCATGTGTTTTGCATTTTTCACCACCTCTAACTTCTCCGCCACTACCCCGCAGCGACGTCACCCTCGCCTGTTCCTACTTGGCAAAGCACCTGGTAAGTCGCACATCGGTTATGCGTGCAAGTGGTTATGCGGTTAAGCGGTAAATCGGTTAATTCGCTAACTGCATGTCTGTCCCTCCCCCCCCGCTTGCAGAATCACCCCCTGAACCTCAAACCAACGAACATCCTTCTCGACGAAGCGCTGCACGCAAAAATCACCGACTTTGGAATCTACGACATTGAAAAGTGCCTCGACACGAATATTGATCCCTCGTATGTCGTGCACCCTAACGGCCTAACCACATTCGATGCTGTGTTAGCAGACAGGAAGGTGCAGAGGATGGAGTTTGCGAGCAACGACTTCAGCGATGTCCTGCATGTATATGATGATGATAATAATCTGCACCTGTATAGTATCGAACAAATAGTTGCTTCACCGAGCAGTGCCTACCCTTCCGTTTCATTCTGGACCCCTCCGGAGGTTAGCGACATAAAAAAAAAAAATAAATGAAAAAAGTGAAAACAAAAGGGACAATACATAGGGGAAATGAATGCCTCATCCATGTCACTATCGCTATATCACCAGGGGAAATGACACCCCCTCCTGCATGCGCCCACATATGGACCCTCAAAAATGTGCACCCCCTTTGTAGATTCTGAGAGGCCACAAAGGAAAGTCCTTTTACGCTGATGTCTATGCGCTGGGAATTGTACTCTGGGAAATGGTAAAACCCCTCAAAAAAATAAAATACAAAAAAAAAAATTTAACATTCATGACAATTTATTAACAAGATTGTTTCAACTATTGTAAAAATATTTTTTTGTGTCCCCCCCCTCCTTCTTCTTTAGTTAACCGACAGTGTCCCTTTTAACTACCCTTTCAAATCCCACCTGGTGGTATGCATCACTTTATTGGATGGCTCATCAAAGGAGTGTATGAATAGGTCCACGTGATTTCCTTTTCGTTAATTTGCCTGTCACTGCTCCGCATTCGTCTTCCCCCCTATATAGGCTTCCGTCGGATATGCGAAAGAAGAACTGACCTACAATAACATTCCAGAGCCTGTGCAAGTAAAATAAAGAGGACACACACACACAAAAATAAATAATAAAAGGAGTTCCATTGGAGCTGTTGAAATAATGGACGAGGAGAACAAACGAGCCATGTTTTCTTTATTTTATTTTTTCTTTTTTAGGGGCTGATAAAATCCTGTGTTCACAGGAACATGTACAAAAGACCAACCTTTGGACAAATTCTAGCGGAGCTGTCCCGGCTATATGAAAAAGTAAAGCAGTTCCCTCGGCGCCGAGGGTCCCGCTTAGCCCCCCTTTGCCATTTGATTGACCGTACTCCCAATGGCGACATACTAATCTTGTCCTTCCTGTCTCACCCCTTTGCACACGCGCAGGCAAATACAAAAGCTGAAGATGCTCTCATGTCTTTCATGGATGGAGTATAATGTAGACCGACTTCCAAACAGAACAAATCGAATTAAGACAAAATTGTGTAATAAAATGAAGCAGTTTGATAGGGGGAAAAAGGTTTCCCTTTTTTTTTTTTTTTTTTTTTTTTTTTTGTGCCTCATCCCCCTGTTTGGCTTGTTAATTAAAGCAAGATATGTACCTGTCCGAATTTTTCAAAAAAAAAAAAATTATTTATTATTTTTTTTTTTTTTTTGACCCCATTTGACTTGTAAGTACATCCCGCAATGGATACACATAAACGTGTCTGCACATTTTTTTGTACAAGGGTGAAGGGATGGAAAGGATAGTCCTACCGCAAGGTGTACGTTTTCTCTCCCCCTTCATACGACCTTGAACATTTTTTAAAACCTGCTTCATATATGCCCAACCAGGGAACCTCCCCTTTTTTGTCATTTCGATGTGTCCACAGGAATGTGGAGCGATGATCAAAAGAGCGGACCATAAAAAGAAAGAATTTTTTTTTTTTTTTCCATCGCCCCTTCTATTTTACCCTCTGCTGCGTTTTTGAACAATGGCCGATTCGTACGAAAACGACGAGGACGTCCTCCAAATGATACAGCAAATAAAAAAAATAACAAAGGAGAGTAAACGCAAGTTCGAAAACGAAATCGATTACTTGGTGGAAGACACCAAGTCCAATCTGCTCACTCATGTTGATGAAGAAAAAAATAGTATTAAAAAGGAAGCGGAGGAGAAGCTAAACAACTACCGAGAAAACCTCATAAAATATGAGAAGGGCATAAATGAGAAGAGGCGCCATTACCTCAAGCTGAAGTCCGACCTGGCCACCGTGGTGAATAACTACAAGAAGAGGATGAAGGTGAGATGCGTGTCCACGTGTGTGGAGAAGTTTTGTCATGCGAGCGTCGAAGCTTTTATGCCTACCTGCATAGTGTGTGTGCTTGCTTTCCCTGTAGGACTTCAACATGGAGACGGAAAACTTCAAGCAAACGTACGAGCGCGACAAAAAAGAGTTAGAGGACCTGGAGGACAGGGAGTGGTCCGAACTTAACACTCACTGCGTCGAGCTTTTAAGCAAAACCAAATCGAATATGTGCGCCACGAAAAATGAAACGAATAAAAAGCTTAGAAAGGTTCTTAATTCGATCATGTAACGGGGCCTGAGATCTGTCCTCCCACTGCGACTTCATTGGAGAGTGTATTGCATCGGATTGCACTGCCTTAATTTTTGTTTTAACTTTTTGTCCTTTCACATGTTGGCCGTAACACGTCTCCCATCCAATCTGCCCCAGGGAATTCCCACACCCAAAAAGATACGTACTTTAGTTTACCTTTTTTTTTTTTTTTTTTTTTTTTCTATCAAATGGGGTGTACTCTCCCAGTATGCCACTTTAGAATGAAATTTTTTTAAAATACAAAAATGTGACAACTCCAAAGGGTTTAACTGAACATTGCTAGAAACACAAAAGGGAAACGGAGCTCCGTGGAGACCATAATAATGTAATCCTCCCTACACGTTGTACTACCATGCGTGCGTACTAACAGATGTACATGTGCGTCGATACACGCTCGCCATACAGCTACAGATTTACCTGCGCACGTAATTCCCCCTTTTTTTTTTTTTTTTTTGTTTTTTTTTTGACAACCTTTTTTTTTTGAAAGCACAAAATGTATGCTTAAAAAACGGTTCACTTCAAAACCAGAGCTAGCTATGCGCCTTTTTTTAAGCAACTTCATCAGAAGTAGCTAACAAAAAGTGTTTGGTGCCTGTTGCGTTTAATTGCATTGCTTAGGATTTATTTCATTTGGGCTTTTCATTCTGTGCCTTTTTTTTTTTTTTTTATGTTTAAGGACTAAAGCGTACACAGTTGTGTTGCAAAACCGTAGAGTCACCAAAAGTTGCGCAGGTGGGTTCGTTTCGCCAGGCGCACGTATTTGGCTGCACATAACCGCGCGAGGGGATACCTCCAACAAAGGGACTTTACAATTTGTACCTTTTTATTTATTTATTTATTTTTTTTTTTGTTGGGGAAGTCTCCAGTGAATACCCGTCCGTCACCCTCCATGGAGAGATATGCGCACGCATTTTACACGTAACGTGTTGCTGTGAGTATTCTCTACGTTTTTATGTTTTCCGCTTTTATTGAATAATGAGTGAGGGAACATAAAGAAGAGCCCCGGTGTATGTATCCGCAGCTGTACGTCTGTTGTTGCTCATTTTATGTATATGAATTAGGCACCCCTCTTTCCTTAAGTAGCTATATCAGCATCGATAAGCACCTCTTTAAGATTAGTCCTTGTTTGTCCATATAGCATATGCCCCTATGCATTTATGCGCACTAAGGTGTATTCCCATCTCTGTGGAGCATCCAGCTGAATAGAAGTTTTTTTCCTGCACAGACCACTTACAAGTGATGAGTTGCTTAGTGGGGCCACAGGAAAAAAAATAAATGAAGTGCGGGATTTACACCAATCGCGTACGTCGCGTAGAGCACTCTATCATTGCGCACAAATAGCCCAAAGTGAGTTACGGCAAAAAGTCGTCTGCGTGGGGGACGTGCTTACACTGAGGGGGGCACCCCAGTGAACATTAACCCACACCTGAGTGCATATGCATGTGCATAAATGGACTCACATTGTGTGTTCTTAACGAACCTCCCCCGACCACCACGATTTGTGTACTTTTTCTTCGTTCTGTTTCCCCCTGTAGCAGGCGGACAACGCTTCGCTCCCATAAAAAAATTTTATGTAATTTCTTTTTTTCTTATCCCCCTTTTATTTTTTTGCCTTTCAGATCGTCTTTTTCTTACGCGAAGTTAAACGGATTTCAACTATGGTTGTAAGTACATACATCATGTGAAATGCTCGCACGGTGTACGAAGCGTACCGTACATGTTTACATTTTGTTAATATAAATTTAACTTGTCTGTATCATTTTATTTTATTATTTTTTTTTTTTTTTGCAGTTCCCCTTAACGTTGCTGAAGTGCTCGCAGAATCAGCCGGTGGTAAGTCACCACGTCTAAAACATTCGCTACATAAAGATGGACACCCCGTGGGGGTCCACATTTGTTTTTTTTTTGACGCACCCGCCCCGTCCTGCCCAATTTTACATGTTATATCATCATGTGTTATAGTGGAGTACACCTCCTCTCTTAATGCTCCAAATGTGACGAGGAAAGAGTACCAACAAACGCTGCATACATTTTCCCTTCAATGTTTTTGTCCCTTGTTCAGATGGTGGAGCTGAAAAATGGAGAAACATACAGTGGCTTCCTCGTGTTTTGCGATCGCTTTATGAATTTACACATGAAAAATATAATATGCACGTCAAAGGATGGGGACAAATTTTGGAAAATCTCTGAATGTTACGTCAGGGGGAATAGCGTTAAATATATTCGAGTTCAGGATGAGGCCATTGATCAAGCCATAGAGGAAACCAACGAACGTAAGAAGGCAATCAAAAAAAAAAAAAAAAAAAAAAATTCATACAAAATAGCTAGCTACATTTTGGCTACTGCCCATGATCATTGTCCATTTTTTTTTTTTTTTTTCCGTTTGCAGAAAAAGCGAGAAATATTGGCAGAGGCAGGGGAGGAAGAGGTAGGGGACGTGGGCCTGGCAGGGGCACAGACAACAGGGGTGGAAGAGGAGGCCAAATGCGAGGAGGAAGAAGGGGATTCTAACACACCATCATATGTGTGTACTTCTCATCATGCACACGTTCATACACACCAAGTTATGTGTGTACGCTTAGTTAGCTACAATGTATGCGCTTTTGCGCAAACCAATGCCTTACTTAACCTACTTTGTGATTTATTTTTCCTTTTCAATATCACACTACGTGTGTAAATGTGACCCTCTTTTAACCCTTTCGAAACTGCTTTTTAAAATTATTGTTTCTGGAAGTGCTACACGTGTGCAACTGTCTCACACAGAGGGGCATTTTTTCCCAAGTGCGCCGTTACGATAGCATTTACACGTAGTGATTATGAAAGGAACTTCGGAACGGTTAAGTCCAGCTTACGTTTCAAGTTAGTTGTAATCCCTTCCGAACTGGTCAGTCTAATGCGAATGGCCTTAACTGCATTTGCATTCGCAGGGATACACATTGCAAATTAAAATGAACACAGTAGTTATGCTCACGTTTACGCGTGGGAAGCCACAAATTAATCGCCGCCTATAAAAAGGGACAGCGTTCCGATCTAAGGAGAACTGCACGGGGGGAGGTAAAAGGGCAGGCAAACACTCCAACCGTAGGTACCTCTAACCATTCACACAATACACAGCTAAACAAAACTTATGCAACGGATGGATATGGAAAACGTGCCACAGTTTTGTACTTTGCATTTCGCTGGACTACTTACACCCAACGCTTATTAATACCCCCCAACGGGGTTAACTTTTTTTTGCATCTGTATGTTTATACCTTAATGGGATCGGCATGATCGAAAAAGGTGTTACTTTAAAGGTTACGTGTGAAGTGCTCGACTGCACACAGGCAAACTCCCGCCGCATGAACAGTTATGCTAATTTAACTACACTTTCATGCACACCACGCCATACCGTACCGTACGTACGTGCACGCGTACGTATAGCATAACACAGTACACAGCAGCAGTTTTTAAAATCATTCAATAAACATAAAAGGGAGCTTGCCACAGCGCACAAGCAGTTGCGTGTTGGGTGTAGAGCGCGGGAGAGCGCGGCACTTGGTACGCATCCCAGTAAAGGGACAAGGATGGGGGGGGAAGGGGGGACACAAAAAATCCTTTGTTGTTTTTTCCAGGAGCCGCGAATAACCATTTGCTTATTGTGCGTTGAGCGCACATGGGATGAGGTGGTACATAATATAAATACGCAGCTTACAAAGGTTATGAACAGAAGGGTATAGTTACATCAGCGTGGCAAACTCGAGAAGAGTTACATATGAACCGTACGCACATGCATATGGTCTTGCTGGGTTACTTTTCCTGAGCAGTGTACAAGCTGAGTGTACAAGTAACTATGAGCTCTTTTTTTTTTTTTTTTTTTTTTTTTTGTTTTTGCCTCATCGTTATTTTTTATATTTTTTGATCAATTAAATTCACATCGATTCACATCGATTCAAATCGATTCAACATGAAATGAATTCAATTCGGTTTGTCAATTTTTCAACATTGCATTTGCTTTCCTCATTCGAACAAATTCGCATAAGCCGAGAGAAACACGCCTTTTAAACAATATGAACGAAATGCAATTCTACATAACGCAATTACATGTGCAGCACATGACATGATATCACGCGTATGCCCTATTCGCGGCGCATTTGCATCCGTGTACGTGAAAGAAAAATATATTCCGGCTTGCTCCCATCAACGGAAAAAGGAAAAAAGGCATACTTCGCCACGTCGCACCCGCATCCTCATGCGCGCGCGCATACGAGTACCGGTACAAGTTTCTCCCAGGGGAAACATTTAACCGTTAGGCAATTTTGTGAACCCTCACCCTGTCGTGTTTCGCTCATGCGTAATTCCCCCGCTGCAAAAAGTTTAGCTCCGTATTTTAATAGCAGCAATAAACACAGCACATATATATATGGCATACTTTGTCGCACAATTTTTTCAAGCAATAAAAGCTCAGAATATTTTTTTTTTTTTATGCCCCTAACCTCTGCTTCACCCATAAATACGAAATGATTGATTTTTTTCTGCATCGCGCCCACAGTTAATTTTTAACAAGTTCGTTTCAATGTTTAAAATATAATTAAAGTTTTCTTTTGTTTTTTTTTTCCTTTCTATTTTGTTTTTCATTTTGTTTTTCATTTCTTTTTGACATTTTTTTTCGATATATTTTTTCTTGCCGCGCGTCACCCCTCAACCAGCCTTTTTTTTTTTTTTTCCTTTTATCCCAACGTAAGTATAAAGTATTGTCATTCTTTTTTTTAAATCATACCTTCCACAAAACAATGAGTACGTCAGAAGAAATTAGAAAAGAAGGATACCCATGTGAGGAAGGAAAAGGCTTTTTCTTCCTATTTAGAAAAAACAGGGGCGTGGACAAAGGTTGTGCTGATGAAGCTGCTTTGGGTAGAGGAGCTCCACAAGATTCGAGTAATGAACGTGGTCGTCAGGACCAGGATTTAAGGAAAAGTGGATCTCAGGCGGGATCTGAAGACGTGGAACACTCAAAGGAAGAGGAAGGAACGAATAAAAAAAAAAAACAAGGCAAGGAAGACCGAGTAGAAGATGGTTCCAAGGGAAAATACATCAAGGGGGGAACACCCGGCATGAACATAACCGTTTCGACCTTGGAAGAACGAGACGCACTGAACGAAGCAACGAGATCACCACATGCTGGTGATGTAAGTCCTGAGAGTTATAGCGACCAACTAAAATTTGTTCACAATACAACGAAAGATTTCGAGGACGATGGTAGTCAAATGGCCCATGACACTGCTACCATGGTGGACAATACGGAAAATGGGCCAAATGGTAAAAACGACATGGGCTTGCATGAATTAAATGAACATAGCAACCACAGTGATGATGCTAGTAATGTAAACAAATGCAAAAGTGAAATTGATAACAGAATTAAAAGAAAAATGCATCCGTTAAAGCAAAATGAGGAGAAGAAGAAGAAAAAAACAGATATAGATAATGCTCCTTCTATTGCTTCCGATTCATCTGATAAGGAAAACATGGACTCAAACGACAATTTCAGTAATAATAGCACCACTGCCATGTTTAATAACAAGGACAAAGATGACACAAAGGAGAAAAAGAAATTTGGCTCCAAGGAGGACCACGTCATTTTTGCGGATGAGGTAATTTTATTCTCATATTATTTCAGCATGCCATACGATGGGAATTGCACCTCCGCATGTAACACAACAAAGCGGCTCGAACAAATTCCCCTCACATGATGGAAACGTGCATGGGGATGGGAAAATGAATGGGAAGTAGCGACGGCCCCACTGTTCACGCGCACTGCTCACGCGCGCACCGTTCACCCCCTTTATATGGACCGCCCCCCCCTCCTGCAGGCCCTGAAAGGATACCCACGCATTTTCGTAACCAGACTTCCCTTCGAGGCTGGAAAAAAGGACCTAGAAAAATACTTCTCCAAATATGGAAAAATAGTGGACATTTACGTATCAAAAAATTTGTCAAATAACAAAAATAAGGGCTTTGGATTTGTCTCCTTTGAGAAGCAAATCTCGATGGACAATGTGAGTTTTGGATGAAAGTCGCATTCCCCTTTGTGGCGCTCTTTGCAGCGAAGCCGTCACCATGCAGGGCTGCTGTGCATGTCTGCTATGCATGCCTGCTATGCACACATGGTCACAATGTAACAATGCGTGTTGTCCAATCACCCGCCTCTTTCCCCTTTTGCGCAGGTCCTGAAGGACAAGCTGCACATCATCTGCGGCAAGGAAATCGTCGTGGACGTCGCTTCTATGAGGGACAGCAAAACCAAGCACCTTTTCCGTAAGAGAACAGCGCGAAGCGGGCAGTTTTTTGCGGCCAGTGTATTGCGTCATGCCAATCGCATGTTGCCAACCGTTTGTCATTTTCGCCACCCACCCCCCTGCAGACCTGCCGTCGGACCACTACCTATCCAAGTACCCGAGGAATGACAAAAAGTCCCCCAGCAGGACGAGCAACAATTACGTCAACATGAACAAGTACCACAGTGTACATAATAAAACGACCAACATAAGGGACATGTCCAAAAATGTCGATAATAATTTAGTCATGCAAAATTTTTACAATCTATGCCCAACGTACAATGTACCAGATAACAGAATGAACAATAAAAACGCCTACAAGAATAATATGCCCATGACCTTTTTCCCCCCCGCGGGTTATAATATGGACATGACCTATTTCAATAACCAGCAAATGCCCTACCAGAACTGCATGGATTACATGAGCCAGGAGTACTACTGGAACATGGCCAACTATTATAACTGGAATAACATGATGTTTCATAATGAAAATATGTACAATACGAAGAAAATGGAATACCCTGAATATGTCGAATACCCCTACTATGCCTGTAACGGGCAGTACATGAATCAGACAGGCCTCCCCCCAACAATGGGGAAAAACAAATTGCCACCAAAAACTTGCCCCACCGAGGAGAGCAATTTGAAGTACCCCACGAGTGTCGTCCCAAGCGGGAGTTACCATTCCCCCGGTCAGCCATGTAAGTTGTGGATAGAGGAACCGACGGGATTGCTCAGGAAAAGCGACTCAAATTGGTTTCATTCATTTGTATGATGGACCACGGAGCAGGGAACGGCACCGTCACCCCCGTGCGCGTTACCTAAACACGTACACGTATACATGTGCACACTTTTGTAAAACCCATTTGAACCTAACAATTTCCCCACCCACTTTGCAGTTGTGAGAAAATTACCAGGCGGAGATGAATGGAACAAACGAGGATACAAGCTGTTCGTTACCAAGTTGAGTAAGTCACGGAGGACCCCACACACTTATTGTTGTCTTACCCCACAATGCACTGTTCACAAACTGGTACACGTATATGCGAAATGTTTTTTTTTTTGTTTTTTTTTTTCCACCTTGCAGATAGCGTGACCACGATCGAAACGCTCCGAAAGTACTTCGAAGCCTTCGGCGAGATCATCGACATTTACATGCCCAACGACGTGTGCACAAACAGACCTCGAGGCATCGCCTTTGTTACCTTCCTGGACAACGACTGCGTGAAGAAAATTCTTTCGAACAAATATTCAAGACATATAATTGATGGAAAGGAGGTAAGCAGGATATTTTTTTTTTTTTTCCCCATACCGCATTGGCATAGCGGCATTTGTGTATTAGGGCTTGACGGCGTTAGCCTATATCACTTATTTTGCTTGTTCATACGTAATACATATGAGGATAGTACGTACCTGTGTAGTAAACAATTGCTTAATACGTGCCTTCGCATCGCCCCTTTACAGGTTGTTGTTGATCTTGCGGACCCAGAAACGAAATCGAGGAAGAATTTCTGTTACCCTTGAGAAGCAGTGTGGTTACCCCAGATGATACGACAATTAACCGCCTTCCTTTTTAATAATTAAAAAAAAAAATTTCTTCCAACGATGAACCGTTTCACATGATGAACTTTGTTAAAACGTCGATCTTCTTCAGACCTCTTGTAAAATTGTCCCAAATGCTTCTCCTCATCCGCCCCCCTCAGACGTACACATACATACGCATACACACTACGCCTATACTCCTTCCTTTTTTTGTTTCCTTTTTGTTGCTTTTCCTTCCCTCTTGGTTGTTACAACGTTGTTGTGGCGTACTCTTTCTTTAATCATGTGCGCCTGCACACCTGGCCCCCACCTCCATCCGTACATGACGTACGTATATATACATAATATATGTACATACGATAAGCATTATATATTTGTTTATTTGCTCATGTATGTATTTAGTTTTGTGTCTTCCCCCGAGTTCATTTCTGTCACCATATTTCGTTTACAAACTCGTCGCATGTTATATGTTGCTATCTTCCCCCCCCCCCTTGTACGGAGGTATTGGGGAAGGTACGGCACATGTGCATGTACATCCTTACGTGCATAGAACATATTTCCTCCCTGACACGTTTTAATTCAACCACACTTATTTTGTGGGTTAATAACACCTATTTTTTTTTTTTTTTTTTTTCCTTCCGATTTTTTAACCTCCCCTTATTTTGTATAATTTTTCTTATTTAAAAAAAATCTTCCTTTTGCGCTTCCTGCAACGGAAAAAACTGGCAGGTGTAAACTGCTGACTCGTGACTGTTAACTGCTTAACGGCTTATCTGCTGAACTATATCTTGAATCTCCCTACCCCAGTAAATCTTCCCAAGTGAAAAAAACAAAACCTCAACCTTTTTTCTTCTTTTTTTTGGCTTCAATTTGTGTATTTTTTTTGATGTGTGTATTCTGACTTTTTTTTTTTTCCATTTCGACGCACATTAAGAATGAGCATTAACAATTTGGAAAAAAAAAAAAAATTTTTTTTTTCCCCTTTTTTTAACATGTGTATATTAACCCCATTTGACAAAGCAGTCTGCAAAGCTACATTTTTTTTTTTTTTTTCTCATTGTTCGGAATGATTACCCTTCTATTCTCGGCTTCTTGGAGAAGGAACAAAAGTTTTGTGGTGCCCTGTAGGGGTGTTTAAAGGATGCGTAGGAACGGCTTGCCTCAAGCCACAAAGGCAAAGCGGTAACTTAGGTTTAACCTCCAATCAGATTAGCGACCTACCTCCCCCCCTTTGTGTGGCAAAACTTCAGCGCGCGAAAGAACACCAAATACGCGCAACAGCCAAAGTGGGAAACGGCGACAGTAAAAACCATCCCGCTGTAAAGCGGCAAACGTGAAGGCGTAGCATACTTGCGCATTCTGCCCCACCTGGGGAACAGGGGAATCTCCTTCCCTCCCATACACAAACATCAGGAGCAAATGGAAAAAACAAAAATAGAGGCCCTCTTCATCTACGACGAGGATGTGAAAAAGGCCGACAAGTCCGTCACAGATGAAGAGCTACAGGTAAGTGCACATATTATTATGGTTGATATTCTTTTGGGGAAGCTCCTCAGGCAACCGTCCCACCTCTTTCCATTTCCTCATACGTCATTCGAGAAATGGCAGTGACAAGAGGGGGAGAGGAGGCTAGATTCACATGGGTCATCACTACATCATTGCAAAGACACGACAACGGGTAGACCGATGACACAATGGATTACATTTCCCCCCACATGGCAAACCTTCCCCACCACTTTTTTTTTTTTTTTTTTTTTTTTTTTTTTTTTTTTTTTTTGTTTTCCCCATTCCGAAAGGCAGAGAAGGTAATCTACTACTACCCACACGAAACAGATGAGCAAGTGAAAGTAACGCACACGAGCACGATGGAAGGCGTTTCTGCCTTCCTCTCCCAATTCAGTAAATCACACATGGATCATATAATAACAAAAGAAAATTTAATTGTCATTAATAAATGGTATAAGCGTATATTCGTAACGGTCGTTGTGAAAAATATTTACAAAAATGAAAAAATGGAACTCCTCATGTGTAAGTTGCTGCATTCAGTTTTGAACAACTTCATCTCGACCTTCACCCTGCTACACGGACACGTCCGGACCTTCTTGAAGTATAAGAAAAACAAAACGACAGGTGAGACAATATGTGGAGAAAAGGGACAGACAAAAATTGATTTAACTTTGCTCAGTTTGTTGGGGGGGTCTTCCCCCCTTTTTTTTTTTTTTTTTTTTATTTCAACGTGCACTGGAGGAGTTACACAACGTCTCATATCTTCCTCCGTTGGATTGACCATGTGGTGATTTAACTGACCCACTATATGCACAGTCAATGGGGTCGCATAGCAAACGCGATGCAAATGAGCACTAAAGGGAGAACAAAAAGTAACCCTCTCTTCGTGCAGTAGAACGTGGAAGATGTTGCGTCCACGGCTACTCTACAACAACACACATTTATATGGTTTACATAACTTACACATCTTATTTTGTCTCCTACATAAATTGTGCAGGCAATATGAACAGAAAAACGAGCCTCCAGACCCTCTTGGATGATTATGTGTTTACCTACGTTAACACGATTAACAACGAGTGTGTGAGTATTCATAACGGTAAGAATGAGTTACCACCTCTACGACGCATCCCCATGACACTGTTACACATAATGTGCTTGTGCATGGTTACATGCACGCCTGACAAGGGCATTTACGGCGAGATCAGCCATTAAATTGTCCGCTGTTTCTCCCCCTTATTTTCCTCTCGTTGAAACGGTTTGGTATCCTTCACGTGACTACCACCACACGGTGTGCGTAAAATGCCCCGCCCCCCCGCAGGCCTACAAAGTTTTCATTTCTTCCCAGTGGAAAAGCATACCTACATTACTGTGCAGGTAAAAATGGGTTACCCATCATGAGCGCATCCCCCCCGCCCCTTCTCTGTCCCTTATCATTTCATCTGAATATGTTGTAGTTTTATCAAGATATTCATCTGTTCCCTATCTGTGTTCCTTTTTTTTTTTTTTTTGTGTTGCGTGCAGAACCTCATTTCGTCCCTAATACTAGGACAGAAGCAGATAAAGCACGGCTGCCTATTGTACGAAGGGCACTTGGTTTACTCAAGCCTTGAAATGAGCGACACAAAAATGATATACAATTATTTGGTGTCCTACGGTGGAACGGTTAGAGTGCAAAAAAGAAAAGGGCCTAAAGGAATGTGTGTGTGGAGCCCTTCCCCCGTCGTTACATAAACATGCATGTGTTTATATGTGCTCACATGTACATATTATCATGAACATGGGTTTACTTTTTTTTCTCTCTCTCTGTTCTTCCGTCACACTTTAGGTAAACAATTTTAAGTTAAATCATCACCCGTTTAGGAAAATTGCATCCTCCGCTGCCATCAACGTAAGTGGAAGTGTGCACGTGATTGAATCTGCCCTCGTCTTGGGGGGAAGCCCCTCCAATACATGAAGCGTATCAGCAGGCTACTCGGATCACTCTTGCCAATGCTATTTGTTCAGTTATTCCCTGCCTCCTCAAGTTGTACCTCTTTTTTTTTGTGTGTGTATGGCTCTCAGGCAAATGGAGGCTTGTCCAGCTTCGCCCGATGCAACACGATCGAAGAGAAAAATGCCTTTCTCCTGGGGATCAAGAAGTAAGGTCCATAGTTTGCGGGGAAAAAATATGTTAAAACCTACCCCTACCACGAAGTGTGCTCGTGCGAGGGGTGGATGCATTGTCCTCAGGATGATCATGTGAACTCTGTCTAACTGTGTTTACACGTCGACTGCCCATGCGCACATGAACTGCTTCATCATCCCCGCTGCCACGCAGATCGTCCATCTACATGCCAGTGGTGAGTCTCGGTACAGAAAAGAAGTACAAACTGATGGCATTCGTTTACAAAGGTATCCTCCTCGTACTGCTCATCAAGGGGAGCACCATCAAGGATGAAGACTATGACATTCTAATCGATATACAAAACAAATGTACAAATGAAAACTCGAGTAGCATATATAGCTTGTCTAAGCTGAACGAAATCCTTTCTGTGCAATTTAAAAAATATTTAAATCAGGATGACCCAGTCAAGTACCTCTATTACAACCACTCTAGTAATTCACTTAAGTACTCCATCAACAATAAAAAAATAAATAATGAGGAGCTTTTCCTAGTTGCTGATTTCCATTTCCTATTTGTGGATTCAGAAGTTAAGCAAAACAAAATAAAATGGAACAAAAAGGAGTCCTCCATGGAAAAGGAAAAGGGGCATTTGTCAAAGGCACTTTTTAATTTTGAGAATCAGTGCATTAATAAAGATGCTTCAAAAAATGGACTACCGCCAGAGGGGGAGAGTAATAAACTGACTGAGCAGTGTTCGCTCGCTAAAGAAACTGTAACGGGGGAAAATAAAACAGACAGTTCCGCTCAACATTGTGGGTATCGTGAACAGGATGGTAAAGGAGGGAACACCAGTGACGTGGACAATGAGCAAGTGAAAACATCCCTCATGGAGGATCCCCAAGTAAACGATGAACATACCCTTAATAGTGCCCACTTAACAAGTGAGCGAAAAGGAGAAACGAAGGATCCCCCTGTAGAAAATGATACCGTAAAAAAGTGCCAACCGACTGCAAGCGAAACAGAGACAGAAAAAGTGCTCACCGCGGCAGGGGCTAATGCTGGGGGAGAGAAAAAAACAAAACTGAAATTAGTGTACAACGAGGAGTTAAGGAAGAAGCTGTTTGAAGATACCAGTGATGATGTGAAAATTGAGAAAATATTTTACAAAGAGGCAAGTGGGCCTTGGGTTTTTGCCAAGAAGACCATGCAGAGGGAACTTTTTATTTTCCCCGACGACTCGAAAATTTCCCTCTCCAAGGCGCAGCACGACGTGCGCCATTTAATGGACCTCAATTTTGCAAACATATACGTTTAGCAGGTGCACGTCGCCACATTATTATTCCCTTTGCCGATTATCACCTGTGAGGGAATTCTCCCACATGATAAACGACATAGCCTAGTCATGATCCTTATGGACAAAAATTTGCTTTGGTATAATATTTTTTTTTTTTGTGCTCCTTTTTTTTACGTGCCTTTTTTGCACACAAGGAGGGTTTCCAAACCAGGGGAGTTCTCCAACCCGTCGAAGCGTTTTCTTCGCAACTTTTCAACTCCGCGTTCGTCTCCATTTTTTTAAAATCGATATGCTTTTTCGACGCGCCAAATGCAATGCATTATGTGTTAAAATTAGCCCAATACCCCTTTTCCTTTGAACAGCGAAGTGTTCTCGTTGGATTGTCTCACTCGTGGGGAGAAAACTGTTTACTCAACAAAAGGGGAACATGAATAAACGGTTGACAGAAGGGACAAATGCTGTCCCCCGTGAAACCAACACCACACCTAAACAAAATTATTGTTTTCCCTTTGGAAGGAACGTAACGCTAAGCCATTTCCATGTATAGGACAGACCTAACGTAAGAGAAAATAAAACCAACACCGCACACGCTTAAGGAACAGTATGCACAAATTGCGATTAGGTCAAAATTACAACTATACACAGTTGCCACTTGGAGGAAGCATATTAAAAAAGTTCAAAATTGAAAGTTTTTTTAAGAGGAATGCCACACACCTTCAAAAGTGCAAGCGTGGGGGAAGTACAAATCATGCATGCGTCATCACAATGTACAATTATGCACAAATGATCGTCCATAAAAAGACAGCGTACATGGCGCTGGTGAAAAAAAAATAATAATAATAATAATATTTCCCCCCGTTGTGTGATAATTTTTTCCTTAGGGCGCACATCCGCATCAGATGACGCTCTTCATTTCGTCAATGGTGGCCGCATCGTAGAGTAGGTGGTTGGTGTCATGCAGTTCAATCGCCTTGATGAAATTCTTAGCGAGGAAAGGCAAGAGGGGGTAGTCCTCCTTGGTGCACTCATAGCTGTTCTCGTCATTCTCCAACATGAAGGCCTTCCAGCATTGCTTAAAGGATTCCAAGTCAATTTTATTCAACAGGACAATTGAGATGAGCCAGTTAAAATATTCTGCACTTTTTTCCACATTTTTGTTGCATGCGTATTTCTTAAGGGTAAGCTTCAAAATATTGGCTTGTAGTTTTTCATTAAATTTGGGGGGGACATTTAAGTTTTCGATTTTCTTGGTTAGGGTTTCCCATTCGTCTGATCCTGTGATAGTGGACAACTCCAATATTTCGTTCACCTTGGGGAGGTACTCTTCAGTAAAGGCGTAGTCTTCATTTGCGCCACTTGACCCTGCGTTGGGTGTTCCACTCACTTGATCGCTCTTTTCTGCGCCGTCATTCAGGGAGCCTCTTTCCCCTGCACTGACGTTTTCTACGGCAGACGCTCCAATCGCGGAGGTGGAGGCGTCATTGGGCTGCTCTTCCGTTTTGCCCATGGCATCATTTCCAGCGCTACCTGCCGTGCCGCTTTTCTTCAAATTAAAATTTCTCATGAAGAATTTTCCCTCATTGGCGCTGCCACTATTGTTGCTGCTCTTCTCCTTGCCCGGGAACCTCGAATTCAGGCTGCTAAAGAAGGCGCTTCCTCCTGCTCCGCTATTCCCATTACTAGTACTATTATTCGCCACACTACCGCTATTACCACTTTCGTTGTTCATAAAGGGCTGTTGGCTACTCTTGAAGGCGAAATGATTCTTCGACATCATATCGAAGACGCTGCCACCACTAGCCTTGGTTCCTTCTTGGCTTGCCCCCAATACACCTTTCATCATATCATCACCCATCATTTTTGACGTAGTGGTATTTTTTGCCTTCATCAGATTTAGGGATAGCTTCTTCATATTTTTATTAGCGTCCATATTTTTCATTCCTCCACCGAGGTTGTTCCTCATATTCATCATGCTAAACCCGGCATTGGTGCTATTGTTACCGCCAAGTCCACTACCTCCGATGTTCGAACCCCCGCCACTATTACTACTATTGTTCACATTAAAATTGACATTACGAAGGAGATTGTTCCTCATGTTACTCAAGCTGCTGTTCATCTTGCTGTCGTGATAGTTACCCATATTACTGCTGCTATTGAAGCTTCTGTTACTTTGGTCCATGGATTCTTTTAATATTTTATCGTGTAATACACTGAGTGTGGTGGGTCCCTCTAACTTATGAGCAAATTTCTTGTTCCATTTTTCATTTCTATTGTCAATAACATCCTTAATGAGACATCTCACACGGAAAGTAATGCTTTCATCATTTATTAACGCATGAAGAGTATTATACAACTCCTTCACTTTTTCCTGATTCGCTTTTTCATGTGTATCAAGTATTTCTCCCACGGTGTTCAAAAACATACATAGAGCTTCCAAATGTAGGTTTCCTTCATTGGTGTCATTTTTAGCAGAAATGTAACTCTCCCTCTTCTCCAACAACTGCTTTATACAAACAAAGACAATGGGTATGGAAATGATTCCTGATTTGACTAGCTCTCCTACAAAGAGCATATTTCCTCTAACCTTATTTTTGTGCATCTGTTCAAATTCAAATCTTTCCTCTTCATTGGTTAAGTTGCTTGGGTATTCAATGGGCTTGAGATTATTCTCAAATGAGTCTTGGCACTGGTTAATTAAAATCTTTTTAAATTGAACAATGCTATCGTCTTCCAACTTCATGTTTTGGAAGTGCACGTTTAATTTTTTACACAGCTGGACATACATTTGTACAAAGTGATGCTGTGTCACTGCTTTCTCGAAAACTAATTTCATTAAACCTATAATTTCTTCTAACTTTGTTATTCCTACTAGGATTATTTGTTCATACAGGAGGTCAAATTTTTCGAACGTCAATTTGTTAAGTATACCCCTCAACTTCCTCATCATACAAGTGTACTTGTCCGCTTTCAATTGACTTTGTTTCACGAGCCAGGAATTTTCTGCCACAGATTTCGTTCCTCCTCCGCTGTTGTTGTTATGTCTCCATGCATCTGGTGATTCAACAGCACGTGTAGAATCAAAGAATCCTTTCAATTTATCTCCGTCATTTTTTCTCCATTCTAAATTTGCCTGGCCCATTTTTCCTAACACACCGCTACCTGCATTGTGTGCATCCATGGGGCCGCTTCCTGATCCCATAACCCCTTTACCTACAGATCCGATCATGTTGTTACCTCCACCACTGTGACTCATGTCACCAAAATTCATGCCCATATTAACTCCACCGTTTGAAAAGTGCATACCATTGTTCATGGCGTTCTTACCGCCTTGCCCATATCTCCACACATCATCATTGTTCTTTCCTCCACCACCGGCGTTCATTCCAAATGGCTTGCCACTATTATTGCTATGATTATTATTTCCACCCATGTAGTTATTACCCATACCACCTCCGCTTCCACCAGCAGAGACTCCAGCCATCATATTCATATACCTCTTACTGTATATAATATTTTTTCCCTCGTGAGCATGCACAGTACCACCCATGTGATTATTCGCATGCATTTGCATTCCATTTGTGTCCATATGATTTATGTTACAAGAACCCACCATGGTACTGCTACCAATTCTATGGCAGTCCACATCAGGATTATACGACAACATAAAATTGAATCTTTCCTCTCCTGTGTTCCATTTATTTCCTACAAAAATTTCGAGCAAATCAATTTTAGAGTATATTTTACTCTTGGCCATTTTCTCTAGCTTTATTTGTTTCAATCGTTGTTTCTCTTTTTCCATTTCTGACTCTTCATGATCTTTCTCATTTTTCACTTCCACCTTTTCATCTGTTTTTTCTACTTCCATTTCATCTGCTCTTTTTTCTAATGAGTCTAGCAGCCCATCAGCTTTGCCCTTGGCCTCTACGTTCTCTGGTACCACATTGCTTCCACTCATTTGTTCCTTTTCGCCACTGGTTGCCATATCATCCTTCTTTTCGCTGCTCAAAGTGGTTGGCACGGCATCCGCGACACAGCTCATTCCTTCCACCTTCACGTCCACATTTGCTGCTACCACATCTTCTGCCTTTTTCAGAACCTCGCTCTTATCAACTGCGGTTCCCACCTTGGTGTCATTCTGGTTGTCCTTAATGGGGGCCTCAACTTTACTCGTTACATCATCCTTATTTGCATCCACCCCCTTGCTCTTCTTGTCCTCCCGCTGGGAGGCATCTGCCGATCCTGCCACATCGGTCAGTTTTCCCTTGGCCCACTTCTTAATATCGCTAAAGAGGCCATACTTTTTCTTTACACCCGTTTTGTTCTTTTCATTTTTTGCTACCACCACATCTTCGTTCGCCGGCTTTGCTACCTTCACTGATTCTTCCGTGTCCATGGTAATAGCCGATTTTGTTTCTTCCTCCACCAGACATTTTCCTGTTCCTTCATTTTCTGCCTTGCCTTCTACTCCCTTTTCATTACTTACACTCTTCAATTCTTCCTTATTCTTCACCGCAAGGCTGCTGCTACCTGCGAGCACATATTTTGCGTCTGCACTTGGTTCCGTCACCTTATCATTCATGAGGACACTAAACCTATTATTTTGCTCTCCTTCCGCGCTCACCTTTTCAGCAAAATTATCACCAGCGCTACTACTTATTACGGGGGCCTTTTTCGCCTCTCCGATGTGGATGTCATGTCGCTGTTCTTCACAGGCTCCTACCTTCAAATCGTCCTTTGCATTTTCCACTTTCATTTCCCCTTCCTTCGACAATCCATCTGGGAATAGCTTTTCTGATCCTTCTTTCATGCCGTGCTTCCTTACACCCTTCTCGGACCATTCATCTGTTGGATGCACAGAAATGTCTGCATCTGCTGGGGGAGAAAATTTGGCATCGGTGCTAATTCTTCCACTAGCATCCTTTACGTTAGTGTTACTTGCGATGTTTTTATTTCCCTCCATGATATTGGCATGTTGTGTATCATGCTGGGCAAGGGGACTAAGCATCCTTTCGGCACCCCCGTGAGACATTTTTTTGGAGCTTTCCTTGTCTAGTGGTACACCATCCGATTGGGGAGCGGCATCGGGACAGGGCTCAATGTGACCATCACCTTGTTCGACTTCTTCAATAGCTTCACCTCCTTCCTCCTCCACAGTTGCATTATCCTTGCTCATTTCGTCTGCTTCCACCTTTTCTTGCTCCATAATGCCATCCCGCAATGCGCCCTCGGTTGCCACTACTCCAACTTTGTGATAGGTGTCATTCGATCCTTCTGCGTCTGACAGAGTGCCACTCTGATCAACCATTGCCTGGTCCATCATATCTTTCTCTTCCCTCTTGTTACTGTAACCCTTTAGTGGCGTATCTTCTACAACTCCTCCTGGGCGTCGCCTGGAACCCCTCATGTTGGATGTGGCGCTTCCACCCTCATATCCTTTTTTCATGTGTTCTTTCAAGTCGTTTCTCTTTCTCATTTCGCTTGCACTTCCCCGGACACTGTCCCTGCTGGTGCTGTTGCTACCATCATTGTGATTTTTCTGGTCGTTATTTTCTCCTCCTCGGGGATGCACCGTCGTTCCTGATGGTTTGTCGCGAATAGTGCTGTTCGAGTCATACCTCTTTCCACGTTGGTCTCTCCTCTTGGACGATTTATCTCCTTTATGATTTGAACCCTGGTGCATATTCTTCCTATCGTTGTGAGAAGATTCTGATTTTGGGTTCTTCGAATCTGCTCCTCTTGGTTCCTTGGTTTCTTTCTTTGGCTTCCTCTTTGCCATTTCCGCAAAGGAGATTTTTCCATCCCACACGGAGTTCTTCGAGTTCGAGTAGGTCGAGCCGGAACAGTTGTCCTGAGCACTGCCACTGGTATTCACATTGATACTTTGATTTTCCGCGTGGCTGTGGTACTCGTTTGGCTCTTCTTCGTACTTATAGCTGCCTTCCTTTTTCAATTGGGTGTTACTACCATGTGCATTGGTACCTCCCACAGCATGTGCGTTATTCTCGTTTAGGCTATCATTCTGGTAGGCCTCGTCTTTTCCAACCCCTGCTGCTACTGAGGCTTCCTCATCATCCACTTCTTTTTCGTATTCAGCATTTTTTACTTCTCCGTTACAGGGCGCTTTTGTTCTTCCCTCATACGCATGCTCCTTTCCTTGTTTCTTCCCTGCATCTGACTGCTCCTCCCTGTCAGCATGTTTGTTACTGCTACTACCCGCACCGCCAACCCTTTTTGCATGTTCCTGGGTCTCTCCTCCTTTTTTCTCCGTCACCTCTTTACGATCCTCACTCCTTCGCTTCACAACCTTTTCATTAATCTGCTTAATTTCGACATTTTGGATTTTCATTTTTTCTCTCTGTCGGTGAGAGGAATAAATATTACCAGACGTGTTCAAAACATTGCCCCCACCACTTCCACCACCTCCTCCTTTTCTTTCATTCACCATATCGACCTTCTTCACTCCTCCGCTACTAACAACACTGTCGTACTTCATTTTGCCTCCCCTCTCCTTCATACTCTCTTTTTCATGGTAACTATTATTTTTTCCGCTTCCATAGGAGGTCAATTTCTTGTTCTTTGCGTTATTATTCATTATACTATCGTTTTTGTCTTCGCTGACCTTTCTACTGGATTTGCTATAATGGAGAAGACTATTGCTGTTGTTCATTCCGGTCATAACTTTACTCATCATTCCTTTGTGTCTCTCTCCTCTTTGTTCTTCTTCCTCTTTTCTCTTCTTTCCATCCCTGCTACTTTGGGCATTACTCGGGGATCCATTTTCATGCCCCATATGCAACGCTCCGTTGATGGAGGAACTGTCTCCTTTCGAATACCCTCCTCCTGCACTTTCATTATTATGTCCTCTACCCTTTGCATTGTTAAAAGAGTTGTTGCTTCCATCTCCAACCCCAGCTGCGCTTCCCATGCCATGATGACCACTGCTTCCCTTCTCTGCGTTACCACCATCGTGGTGTTTCAAATTAGCATTCCCCACGGAACTTGCTCCAGCAACACCGCCCCCAGTAGCACCCTGACTACTTACACTCTCCTGTTGTCCGTTCAAACTGTTTTTATATCCTTTCTTTTTACTAGGGTTCATTTTAGCAATCTTTACCCAGGAAGAAAACTCCGTATTTTTCTTATCGTAATTTTTCGCATTGTTCGCATTCGCATAACTTGCATTTTTATTGTTCATAGCATTTCCGTTGTACGTGTTGTTATTGGGGTAGGGGCCATTCACTCCCCCTGCTTCATTTCCTCCAATACCTGGCACATTCTTACCATTCACACTGTCGTTATTTGTAAGTGGGCCCTGATCATTCATATTTGAGGCGGTAAAATTACTTGCAGTTCCTCCCGTGAGGGTGGATCCTGTTTTGGTGGCCGCACCCTTTGTGGCTCCTGCAAATCCTGCTAGCACCATGTTACTATCCTTCTCCTTGAACTTTTTATCATCTTCATTTTTTAATTTCTTTTCATTTCCACCTTTGCCTCCTTCAGCATTCCTCATGTGTCCTACTATCTTATCAACATTGCTCTGGTACTTTCCACTACCTGTGTAGCTTCCCTGTTGCTGCTTATTGTTGTTGTTGCTGCTGCTACTGCCAAGCGGTTGCTGTTGACTTCCCATATTGCCACTATTCGAATGTCCAAGCATATCGTTATATGGCTTCTTCACATGCGCATCAGCATTTTTTGTTCCTGCCTTATTGTTATCCTTAGATGCATCCTTCTTGGATCCTGCTGCAGCTCCTCCTACTCCAACGTGATTGTAGGCCCCTTTTTCTTCACTCACTTTATTACTTCCGTAATTTTTGCCCCCTTTGTAATCTTCCTTATTCTTTTCATGCTTATTAAAGAATCTCTTTTCGCCTGATGTGATGTTTTCATTGTTGCTGCTGGACAGAGGGGCGTGACTGGACATGATATTGTTCGAATTGCTACTGTTGTTGCTGCCTTTGTTCCTAGCATTACTTGTGTTATTAAGGTTACTATAAGCTCCTGCTTTTCCTTTAAAAGGTCCCTTTCCCCCATCATTCATGCTACCATCATATTGCGCAAGCTTATTTCCATTCGTATCGTCTAAATTGTCATTTGCGCCTCCACACAAATCGGACTCCTTCTGATGCAAACCACCACTCATATTATTGTTACTGCTTGTGTTATGGCTAGCTGAACCTGTGGACAAAACGGCGTTATTATTATTATTGCCTGTGGATCCTTTTCCACAATAGTTGTTGCTCGCTTGGGATGAAGTGGCCCCAGGGGTAGCTGTTGTTGTGGCGTTTCCATTTTCGTCCCTTCCGTACAGCGCTTCCTGTTTTGCTCCCTTGCCACCACTGACATACACATTTTTCGATCCACTGCCCATGGCATGACTTGCGTTGTTCCCAGAATGGGCATTAAAATTAGAGTTCATATTATTTCCTCCAGCTCCACTACCACTATACTTGTTTCCTTTCTTACTGTCCTGCTTGCCATATGAAGTCAAACCGGACGACCCTCCTCCTGCTCCTTTGCTATCTCGATGGGCACCTGATTTACCGCTGTTGTTATTATTACTTCCACTTCCACTATTCATGCCCCTTTCGCCGTATGTATTATTTCTCTTCTGCTGTTTCGTAACTGCTGCTCCGCCAATTGGGCCACCCAACCCCTCCATGGTATTACCCATCATGTTGTGATTCATTTGCATAGTGCCCATGTGCATTGCTCCTCCTGCGGTCATTGTTCCCATGGCAGCACCTGCTCCTCCTGTTGTCATGCCGTTGTTCATTTGGTTCATATGGTGATGCGACAACGGAGATACATTCGTCCCGCTTACATTGTTCATATGCAAAGGTCCATTCATACACATGACATTTCCATTTGTGTTCATACCCATGTTATTTCCTAATCCTGGTGTTAGGTGCATTCCGCTCGTACCACTGCTACCACTGTTGTTAGCGCCATTATTATTAGCGCCACTACTTGCTGCTCCGTTTATAGCGCCAGCACTGCCGCTATTGTTGTTTGTTCCAGCATTGTCCCCACTAGGAAGCAGATTATTCGCATTGTTGCTACCACTAACATTATGCGTTCCGTTGAAGTTTCCGTAGCCATATGTCATGCCCGCTCCAGCTGCTGCACCTCCAATAACATTACTCATGTTGTTACTTGTATTATTACTAACGCTATGGTCGAAGCTGTTATTATCATTAAGGTTACTTCCCCCGGCGTGCATGTTGGGCATGTTGAAATGGTTGAACATATTTCGCCTGTTCGGTTGAGCTACATGATTATACGACATTTTTAAGGGCGGAGCTGCGTTGCCTGAATTGCCCGAAATGAAATGTGTGTCCATAGGGGTAGTCAAATTTAGGGGGCCATTATGCTGTAACTGGGGAGGGGGAGGATGCGAAGGTAATCCACATGGCATAAAACTATACGGGTTAAGGTTCATAGTTCCGTTCTTCGAGGATGACAAGGCAGTTGTGTTATTTCCAATCAGGTTAGTATTGTTGCCAAAGGAGCCATAAACAGAAGGGGGAGGTTGTGGGAAGGGAAAATCATGAGGGACATTCCCTGAGCCCATGGAATTTGCATACGACATTGGAGTAAATAATGATTGGGGTGGTCCAGGTAAAGCATTTGGGTGAGGGTGATGAGGATGATGTGGGTGTACATGAGGACGATTATTCATTAGGTAGGGATGATTGACGTAAAAATTGTGTGGATGCATCATGGATCCATTTGGCTGAAAAGCTTGGTGGTGTCCAGCGTTATGTGGATCTATCGTGTGAAATGGTGGTGAAGGACCGGCATTTTCTGAACCGTTCATAAAATTATTTGCTCTCATATTCTTCATTCCTGGTAGCATCCCATTTTGATTTAAAAAATTAGAATCCGTTCCACTACTATTCGCACCTGCTTTTCCTCCTACACCACTTGTTGCTGAACCATGCATCATATTGGATGAAGTTGTCGTCACATTATTTTCATGGCCACTCGAATTGGCATTATTATTATTATTATTCCCTATCTTAGAACTGCTCACAGATTTATTACCTGCGTTATTATTCATATTTGCAGCAGTGGTTGAGGATACGCCACTACTAGGAGGAAGATTTGCCTTGTCCCCATTTCGGGCATCCATGTTATTCATATTATTTACTTGGGGTAACATTACACCTGCACTGTTTGGCATATTTAAATTCATACCACCATTTGATGCTGAAATATGACTAGAATTTGCTAGGGTTAACAGATCTCCTGGACCATGACCCATGCCACCTAGAGGATTTAACAAAGGGTTAGGACTCATCATGCTATTGCTTCCTTGTGCACCCAAATTATTAATCAGTCCATTTCCTGCTACTCCTCCAAATGCCCCATTAGACATATCTTGTTGATAATAATGATTCCACATTAAATTGTTGAAGGATAAATTTCCTTGCATTCCTTTTGTCGATGGCACAAACTCAGGTGCATCTGCGTTGAGTGAACTCACTGGCGTGGAGACGACATTGTTATTATTGTTCGACTTGGACGAGGATATTGAATTTGTTTTGCCATTACCACTCTTCCCTTCAATGTTGTTACTGTTTTTTTTTTTTGTCTTTCCATTTTCACTAGTGTTGTTATTTTGGTTAGCGGCATCTACTACATCTACATTTTTGCTATTACTATTTTCTTCCTTCTTCTTTTTATCGTTATTATGATCATCACTGTTTCCATTTTTCTTCAAGTCCTCCCCGTTCTTACCCTCCTTGGGGTTCTCCAGCGCACCGCTACCTTCACCGCTTCCCGCATCATGGTGGTCGTTCTTCCTGTGCTTATCCCCGCCATTTTCTCCATCCTCTCCGCTGTTGCTGCCTCGCGCGTTTCCGCTTCCACCGCCATTACTGCTTCCTCCACCATTACTACTGCCTCCCCCATTATTGCTACTTCCTCCACCATTACTACTGCCTCCCCCATTATTGCTACTTCCTCCGCCATTACTGCCACTGTTGGCGTTTTCACCACTGTTACTGCTATCGTTCCTTCCACTACCGCTGGTGTTGCCGCTCCCACCTGCACTGGCGCTGTGCATGTTACTGCGCTCTTCCCGCGTGACACCTTTGCACACTGCCGCTTCATCGCTGTAACTATTGCGACCAGCATCCTTGGGGGTACCTCCCTCTATCACGTTGGCACATACAGACACGTTATCCATTTTCACATTCCTTTCGGTGATCGAATTCAACATTGACACATCCGCGCAAGGATTGTTGCTGGTGTCCTCCACGCTCTTTACGCGCAGGGAGGCATAAACAGCGTTAGAGTCCTTCTGGTCGCCCGCGCCACTTTGGTTATAACGCACTGGCGCGTCGTTACTCTTGGAGTCACTTGTTGCATCGATAGACGCGTTTACAGTGGGGCCCTTTGTTCCTGAGTCCATGGCCTCTTCACCCTCGGATGCCTTTTTGGCGAGTCCATTTTCCTTCACATCACTGGGAGAATCCGCGCGAGGTCCACTCACATCGGTGCGCACGTCTCCTATACAAACTGATTTCATCTCGCTAGCAGCAATCACCTCGAAATGGTCAAATGTACTGTTTTTTTCAACGCTTCCCACATCATCAACATTACGCCTAAATTTCTCATCAGTCACGCGGACGTCATTTGCTCCCTTCCTGTCTTCCTCCTTTTGCACAAAAATTTCACAATTACCATTTGAGTAATTACTCCTCTGAACCTGGTCACACGTTTTACTCACTACAGACGTGCATGATACTTGTGCTGTGTCGGTGGACCTACTAACATTTTTTTCATTAATGGGTAAGGGGGGGGTTGCTGGAATTTTTAACTCGCCAGGAGAAATATTACAATCGTTGCTACTTTCAATATCATTTGTAAAAGGGGCATTATTTGCATGGTCATAATTAATTACATTCCCCTTTTCATACATATCATTTGTGCTTCCTTCCTTTGTGTTTCCTTCATTTGGTTGTTCCCTGCACGCAGGGGTGCCACTACTACTATAAGAACTTATATTCATCAGGCCGTTCATCCTACTTTTATTGTACTCAGGTAAATCTGTGCTTACAATTATATCACTTTGCATCTTGCTTAAAATTTAACAGTATATTCTGGCTAGGGGGTGAGGGCGATAAAAAGAGCTCTCCTTTGATTAACGTGCGAAATGGATTGTATGGGGTTCTGGAGGACTAAACACAACGTTTCAATATACACACACAACCGTACCGTTAAGAACACGCCGAGTGCGCACCCCTATACATACATATATGCTTGCAACTCTGAACTGTACTATCTACATACGTAAACACAAAACAACGTCTTCCACAATTCTTTAAATACACTACACACCCCTATTAACTTTGGTACTCGCTTCAAGCCTGCTGAAATGGAAAAATGGATTGTATATAATGATGACAGGGGGGAACAGGTTAATGAAAAGGCGGCACACATATGCGAACGTTGCATTGCCGCGTGGGAATAACAATGGGGAGCAAACAGAGAAAAAAAAAAAAAAAATTCTCCCTAACGACACAGTAAATGATAAGCATTAAACGCACACAGCACTGGCCGGATGAACGGTGACTCCCGCTACAATGTCGAGTCGTCCTCAATACAAAATGGAACGCACAGCTGCTATCTTAAAAGCAAAAGTGGTGGACGTCTACGGGTACTGGCCTTCCCTTATCTGTGTAATCCATGCACATGGCAGGGGGGGCGATCACCCAACATTCCCGTGGCTCTAACATCAAACGCTTCAATTTGCGTGCACACAAAAATACACACATATGGACGCAAGTATGTATGTATAACCACACATGCGGCATGCACGCAGACGAGAGTAACTCGTGTATTCAATTTTACCTGAGTGAACTGCTTCGGGGAGTGCCTTTGTGCAGGTGCGTCAATGCAGCAAATAATAATTACGTCGCTTGCGCTTCTGATGTCTATTCTGACGGTGGGCCCTCACATATACTCCTGTTCCTTTTTTAACCTCTTAAGTCTGTGTGGTCCGCGTGGGCGCGCGCTGCAATTGAGTCCTTCGATTGTCCAATCCGCGCGGGCATAGGTCTCGTTAAGCGTGAGCTTGTGTATTCGTATATAAGTGGGCGAATGGATCCGCGTTCTTGAACGAATATTTACGCGTGCGTAGGTTTTATATATTTGTACACGCGTTTGGGAGGTGAAGTGCGTCTGGTGAACCGCCACGTAAAAACACAAGGCATACACAAATTAAAAGGGGGCAGAAGGTAACATGTACTTTAACATAACATTATAAATACGATTTTTTTTTTTTTTTTTTCCTTCTAATTACACGTATGAACAAGAGCTGTATCGACTACTCGTGTGTTGAAACAACAGACGTTTCTACACGTGGGCGCTAAGCAGTAAGTGCAAGCGTGGAGTATTATATGTGCTTCTGCTTTTACTTTCTATTGTGTGTATGTGCACATGCGTTATTACGTTAATCTGTAAAAGCGTTTACTTGGGCATGTAACAGTCAAGCGTGAAAGGTAAAGTCATAATGGAAAACATGAAGGGAAAGAAAAAGAAGAGGGACTTCTTACAATTGCTACTCACAACTGCTGCTTATACAACTGCTACTCACAAATGCTGCTTAACAACTGCTACTCACAACTGCTGCTTATTATGGTAACAAAAAAGGCGAGAGGCGGAGGGCAGAATAAATAAAGAGGAACACAGGGTTCATTCAACTACATGGTATAAGAGTGAAGAAATCTAGTGCACATTATCCGCGTTCGCCTTTACATGCAGATTCGTACAATATACACAAAGGTGTGGTTGGGCGCATGCGTAAAGTGGGCAAGATCACAGATGACGTCGTTTTGGGGTCGCTTTCAATAAGATGCTGCGCCTGTAAAGGATCTATCGCAGTGTGGCTTTAAAATAAGCGTTAAAATGTTTCCACTTGCGTTGGTAAATATAAATTAGCATAAAGAGGGCGTAGCCTCACAAGTATATCTCGCTGCTGCACGCATATATATATATGGGCAGTCGGTCGGTAGGCTCGTCAGTCGCACCCTCCTGTGCCCATACACTTGGCTTTGTGGCTGAAGGAATTCCTTCACCTGGGCCTTTTTTGCACAAGTACAACACGGTTCGTTCTCCCTGGAGGAGTCTATATGTAAATATATATAACCGTTCCTACGTGTAATGTATAAATATGCTTTTGTAACATAGGTATGCACAGATTGTACGCTTCCGTACGCTTCTGTAGGCTTGCGCGAATTCGTATGCGCTTACAATGCAATAACATTAACATGCATATTTTTCCGCATAAAATTTTTGCGCGCGTATCCAGGCATGAACAAAAATATGCTTTCACAACAAACGTATATAACGTGATGCGAAAACGAAAGAGAACATGAAAAAGAAAATGAAAATGAGTACGGAGTTACGTCGCGCAAAGAGAGGCGGCACGTATGTTTTACGTACATATGTTTTACATTTACATACATGCTATATATATGTACAATAATAAGTATACACGTACAAGTATACATGCATAATATGCGTACGTACTTAATAGTAAGTAAGTATATATAAATGCTTATATATCCATATATGTGAATTAAACATGTTTATATATATATATATGTATATATACATATACATAAGCAGTTTGCTTGTTTTATTTTAATACTCTTATATGTTTGTACATATGTACTTTTTTTTTTTTTTTTTTTTTTTTTTTTTTTTTTCCCTACTTATTTTTATATTGCGGTTATATTTTTTTTTTTTTTTTTTTACATACGCTTTAAAAATTCTCTATCTCTATATATTTTTTTTTGGATTTTGTCATTTTTACCAT